ACAGGTGCCCGCCATAACGCCTGGCTATTTTTTGGTTGCAGCCGTCATTGTTATTTGGTGGGCCCAGGCTGGATTTGAATCCGCCACCTTAGGTGTATGTGGCTGGCGCCTTAGCCACTAAGCCACAGGCGCCGAGCCGCTAATCAGATTTTATTAGTGTTTGTGTATTTACTGTGTAGTCCTAGACAACTCTTCTACCAAGGTGCAGCTGAAATGAAAAAAGGTTAGATACCCCTGCAAAGTAGGCACATGTAGAGTGGGGAAAGCTCACAATGGGCTGGCAAAAAGTAGAGTAACAGCAGCGGAGGGTGCCCCGCCACTGCACGCCAGGCACGTCCCACACTGTGCTAGCTTTTGGCGGCTTTACTGGGGTTGATGATACAGTGCCATATTATCCCCCATAAACACAAAACATAGGATTGAAGTGCAATTTTAAGAGCTATGCAAAGAAAAACAAAGTAAGCAGCAACAGAGTATCATATGTGATGAACATGAACTTCTGCAGCAGGTAACTTGGTTTAGATCCTATCCCTGCCAGCAGAACCCACTATCTGTGGGCACGGGTCATTTATTAACACCACTGAGCTAATACCTAAGTACCCGAGCATTGTTTCACATAATCCTCACAAGTGTCCTGTTAGCTAATTTTCTCATCCCCATTTCAGAGAAGTAGCAACTGAGGTTTAGAGAAGTTCAACAACTTACCCATGTTTGAACTAGTTATGACCCTAGAACTGGTTTCATTCATCAGACCTACCAACGCCAGTGCTTTTGTAAACATCAAGATGTGTATACAAGCACCTTGGGGAATGTTAAATTAACGTCAGCTAATATTACAAAACCAACTGGGGCCTTATAGAATTTCCTTCAGAAAATTCATGCAAATAGAGTATCTCGGTTTACTTAAATGTTTGCTTAGGTGCCTGTTACAAATATTATCTTATGTAATCTTCACACAAGTCCACGAGGAGGGTCCTGCTCTAATTTTTAGATATTAAATGACACGTTTTGCAAAACGCTGTTAAGACCGTGGAAACGACTCCAAGAGGATGTGGCACTGCTGTCCCGCTTTCAGTATTTAGGAGCTGCAAACGGGGGAGCTGGAGGGACCGCCCCGGGTCCCGCCGCCGGGCACAGGCAGCGCGTCAGAGACAGCGCGACAATGTGTCCGCAGCAATGGAGCCATTACTTGCGGTGAACAGGGAAGTGAGGACAGAGTCGGGCCCTCAGAGTTCTCTAGAGAGCGTCAAATGAAACTGAGTCCACGGCCTAGACTACCACAGACAGGATGCCGCCTCCAGCCCCCCTGACTTTTCCTGGAGTGTCCTGGTGAACTCAGGAGCGTGGGCTCGGCTTGGCTAGATCCAGAGTCCTAAGGGTGATCCCATTCCCCTGGGTGACTAGGGTCGCCCCTTACGCTCCAAATCAAAGACGTCACTTTTTTCATTTGTTTTGCAAACGTTTATTGTACACCTATCATTCCCCCAGAAACAGAATGCGGCAGCGACAACAGCCGAAGCCGTACGCCCGCGAGCGCGCGTCCCGGAGCCGGCCAATGCGCACCGAGGGCGAAGGTGCCCGGGGCGCCGGTCCCGACGCCGCGGCCCAACCCACAGCCTCAGCTCGCAGCCTGCGCGCGCCCGGGGGAGGCACTGGCCCACGCACATGCACACGCACTGGAGCACCGGCTCCCGCGTCCCCGGCGCAGTGCTGGCGCTGGGCGCGGGCGGGAGCCCAGGAGTTTGAGCGGGAGGCGGGAGCTCGAGGCGGGGCGGGTGCCCGCGAGAGGCGCTCGTGCATACGCGTCTCTTATCTCGAAGCCCCGCCCCTGCCCCGCCCACCCTTTCTCCCGCGCGCGGGCTCCGCGCGCCCCAAGCCGCGCGCGTGCGCGCGCGTGCGCAGGCCAGGGCCCTCCGGGGGCGGCCCCGTAGTCTCGAACGAAAGCGTCGGCAAGAGCCCGGATTAACCCCTTCGCTGCTCGCCCACTTAGGAGACCGGCCGAGTTCCGTGCCTGCGCAAGCCGGCGGCGCGCCTTCCCCCCAACCCGCACCGCGCATGCACGGGAGGGGGGGCGGTGGGGGTGTTCACGGCCGGCTAGACATTCTGTGCTCGTGCAGGAGGAGGACTCCTACCATCAGG